TTTTGCTATTTATTTTCTGGTCTGAAAATACAATTTCCAATATAACTGCTTATTAATTTAAATTATTTGAAATACATGATCATTTCAGATGTGCTGCCTTGCTTTCAGAAAAATACATTTTTATGGACTACATCTACTAGGGACACTTTCTGTGTAAAAACATGGTAATTTCCTATGAAGTGACAGTATAACATCTTAAGACATTTACCATTGAGGTCAGTGATCAACAGTGTGGTGATTTGCAGTAGTACAGTCCTCTGTCACCACACAAGTCATGTATTATTAATGATGGTCATAACAATGGAAAGGTCTGTGGCTCTTTTGGAGGCAGACCGTGTTAATTCACCCTTCACTTCAGAGAGCTCTTGGTACTGAGATAAGCTGCAATCCTAGCGGCATTTACCTTTAATTAGGTAAGAGGCAAAACGCCAGCAAATCAGTAGGAAAAAGCATGTCATTAAAAAATTGCTTACATTACTTGAAAACTTGTTTTTAGAAGCAGAATTAGAGCTCATCTTTATAAGATTCTGGTTCTTCACTCTCACTCCACATTCAGACCGCTTGGTTTTGAATTTAGAGAATGGAGACGGAAGGAAACATTTGTGACCAGCGCTAATACAATCTTGGGTATACAGGAAACATTCTTCCTATACTTTTTTAAATGTAGGAGTTTAGCTTGAAATCCATCAGAACCATGTGGCTTTGTGCTCTGAGGTATGAAGATTTACATGAACCTTTTCTTATTCTGGTGTGTCAGGAAGCACCCACAGAAGCCCAGATGGAAACAGCCCGGGCAGCTCTCAGAATCTGAGCTCTTCGGGGACGCCCTCACCCCAGGGCGGCAGGTGCGTACTTCACAATTACGAAACATGGCTGAAGAAACGAGGGTGCTGGGTGTTTTGGTGATGGAGGTTATTTCAGCAGGTGTTTGCCAGATATTGTGTAATGCGGAGACTAGGATTAAGGCTGCTGTCAAAACGCCTCTGAACTTGTTTTGATGTGCACATCACGAAAAGCTTTCATCAAACAATTATACCTGTCAGCTTTTGCTTGTCATATGGCTTTTCCAGATTTTGTAAACGTTGCTTTGCAGATACACTTGCCCATTATTTGAGCAATTCTAAAGATAGTGTTGAATTACTTAAAATTAATAGGGATTATACAATAATGCTGTACCGTAAAGGTATACTTGAACATCTAAAATAAATAAGCACAAACAAACCGAAGAATAACATGGGTTGCATCCTGGGGCCATACCCTTATACAGTGAGTATTTTATTAACATTGTCTATTACAAGGGACCTGCTTGCATAATTGGTCTGTTATGTAATTTGAGCAAAGATGGTATTATCAACTTTTTAGGCATGTTTTTAAGTGTGAATGTCTCTTAAGAAGCTTGGACAAACTGTAGTTTGCAATTAGAAAAAAAATGCTTTCCCTTATGCGACCCTTATATTGCGTCATGTATGTGATGTAGGTCCATGTTAAGATTTCATTCTGTGCATGCTGTGTTTTCTAAACGTGAGGTATATCCCCAATTCAGGTATGACAGAGTACCAGATCTAATGGGCTCCCAGGTCTACTCCACCCCTCCACAGCTTCAGAGATCCTACTCCTCCCCAGACAGTCTGCAGAGACAAGCCATGGTAAGTGTCCCCTTGGGTCCACACCGGCGGTCTGTCTTTAGTAGGCAAATAGCAGGAATTCATGGATGCATCAGACCCTTTTGATTTAACTTAGCTTGTAATTCATCAAAGAATATGGTACTTTAAACTGATCTATTAAATTTACTGTTAAGACAAAATTAAGGTTTTCTGTGTTAGGAAGTTGATAGATTTCTCTACAAATCATGTAGTGTAGCTAGGGGAAATCAACATGGTTAACTTTCAACTGGGAGCCACAACTGGTCTTCTGTTGTGGACTTCAGCTGCAACCAAGCAACAGTGTTAATTTCATTGATGGAAATTAGGACTGAAATGTTTGCAGTGTCTTGTTTTTCATTTTAGTCAGAGATGATGAAACGCTTACAAAAATAATCTACAGTGATGATGACAAAGACTAAATGCCTTTGCCTTTGTTTGAGTATATTAAGATGAGACAGTGACCTGTTTGACAAAAATTCATAGAGAAATAAATTGTCACATGAAGTTCACTTTTTTGCATTTACCTTGTCTAGCAAATAGCAGGCTGGCTGTAATGAGTGTAATAGTCCTAGAGCTGCGACTGTGTGTTGATTGCATAGTGCCTTGAGGCTACTACCATGTGACAGTTGGGGTGTGCTGTTTTCTCTCCTCTTCTCTTTTGATTTGTATTGGTCTCTCATTTCCAGCCAGTGTTTTCCATACCCCTGCATGAATCCTTACTGTGTGTTAAACGGTTCGCACCCAGATAAAGAATGAGATGTATTCCCTGTACTAATTGGAGTAAGAAAACTAGAGCACCTTGATTAGAAAAAGAAAAGTTGCAGAGAAGCGAAATGCTTGTGGTACTCAATGCTTTCAGACGGAGGTAAAGGATCTGGAGGCCGACAGTACTTCATTTACGAATAGAAAACCAGGAAATGCCCTTTAAAACAGTAGTAAAAAAAAGAAACAGCATGCGGCTACATTATAATTTGAAAAACTACAGAAACTTTGAAGCCCCGTATGAATATATTGTAACTAGTCAACAAATTAAGTGAGAAACTAAGAATGATCCATATTTTACCATTTGCATATCAGGAGATTACTAGTTTTGTGTTGCCTAGTGATAACTGTATAAAATGTGAGAGTATGTGCTGCTTTTCAGGTTTGTAATGCTGCTCTGTAAAAGGGAAATAAAACGGGATTTCTTTTGTTCATATTTTATTTTGAAAACATTACAATGAGTGTGTAAAATGCGTTTTGTGTACTGCACATTTCACAGCATGCGATAGGCGCCAATTCACCATTGCCATTCTTCAAGGGCACGGGAAATGGACAGGACTATATTAGGAAATATTAGGGAATTTAATTAGGGAATAGCATTATTGTCAGCTCCCGGTAAGGTGTTCGCCACAGTGCTGCTGAACAGAGTACGAGACCGTTCATCACGGCGTCTAGAACAGAGTGGCTTCACTCCTGGACGCTCCACTGTTGATTGCATTGTCGCAGTGAACACATTGATGCAGGGCAGGAGGGATTTTGGCAAACCACTGGGTTGCGTATGTCGACCTTAAAGCTGCATTAGATTCAGTTGACTGCCCGGCTCTATGGCAGACGCTTCGATGCACTGGACTACCTTGTAAAGTGGTTGACCTCATGGAGGCTCTGTATACATTCTGGGTACATTCAGTTGTGTTCAAGCGGACGGCGTGAGATCAGACTGGTTTCCGGTGCGCAGCAGCGTTAGACAGGGCTGCATGATCGCTCCAGACCTGTTTCCGCACGCGACATGTGGTACATACGGATCCCCTATACCAGACAGAAGTTCGACGGACCACCAGTCCTCAGCCAGTCTCCCAGTTGATCAATGCAAGGCGTCTCCGCTTCTTTGGCCACATTGCGCGAGCTGCCACGCATCGGGATCATCATCGCGCGATAGCTGCGACAGTTCAGAAACCCACCAGCCAGAAAGCGGCTGATAGGGACGGCTGGCGACGCATCGTGGACACCGCTACGCGTTGCTTAATTGCATTTAGTTTGAAGGTGTAACTGGGTGTTTAGCTAACCGATTTAAAATAATATCATAGCACCTGCAGATATTCCTTTTTATTTCTTCAGAAGAATGTGTGTAGAGTGCAAGCACTGTTACAGACATGAAACACAGGCCTGTGACTTTGTTAGCACAATACTAGCATGAGGTCATTAGCACTTAGACTGCTCTTAGTTCAGTTAAATTTATTTGTCATATGAACAAGAAGTTAAATAACATACAACTTACAAAAAAAAACAAGTCAGACAGCAGTTTGAGAAGAGAAGAAAAAAACACCAGTGTCAGGGGTAGAGTTTAGTAATCTGACTGCTTGTGGGAAGAAACTTGGAGGTTCATGCCTTTATCTTCCTATGACGAATACCAGAGGGAAGGGGAGAGAAAAGTAAGAAACCAGGATGATCCTTAGCAATACTTTCAGCTTTCCTGGGAGAGCGAGTTGTAAAAATGTCCACAATAGACAGGAGCTGTACACTTATAATGGACTGGGCTGACCTGATCATCCCCTGTTAACGCCTTCTGATCAGACAACAAGCTGCTGCCAAACACCACTGTAATACCACACGTGAGCACACTCTCAGTAATGCACCTGTAAAATGTGGTAAGGACAGTTCAAGTTCAAGTTTATTTGTCATTCCAGTAATATACAAGTATACAGTGGAATGAAATACCATTCCTCCTGGTCCATGGTGCTATTACAGACAAGACAGTGACATAGACAATGTAGACAGGACTAATAATACTAATATTAATAAATAAGATTGTGCAAACTAAGACAGTGTACACCGGAACAGAGGCAGTGTACACAGAATATATATATATATAATGCAATTTAACCGTTACAGAATTGTATAAAAAATACTTCGCATAATATACACTAAACATTGGGAGAGTTTAAGCCTTGTTTCTGGAATTGGAGTAGGTGCAATAGGTACCAGGGCATTGAGAAGCCTAACAGCCTGTGGGGAAAAAGCTGTTAGGGAATCTGGTGGAGCTGTCCCGTATACTGCGATATCTTTTTCCAGATGGAAGGAGGGCAAAGAGTTTATGGGAGGGGTCATCTACTATACTAGAAACCTTGTGCAACAGCGTTTGTGATAGATGACATGAATGGAAGGAAGGGATGCTCCAATAATGTTTTCACAATTCGTTGTAGGGTTTTGCGGTCTAAGGTGTTGCAATTCTGAAACCAAACAATTCTACAGCTGGTAGTAGTTCAGGTGGGTAGCTGCGTCAGCATGCGTAGGCTGCAAAGGAACAAGTAATAGGTTTATTCCATGCTGAAAAAAAGAAGAAAGAGAACACAACGTTT